AGAAAGCACAAAGGAGACTATGAATAAAGCAGGTTGACAACATTAAGAACAGAAAAATTTCAACAAGTCAATCACTATGAATCACACAAAAAGCCAAAGAAACATACAGGAATATAAAGAGCAATATAACAACATTACCTAAGTTCTTTTTCCTACTAATAGCTCCTCTGAGGAGCCTTACTTATTTTAACATATTTTTGGTACTCTTACCTAAATATCATACACGAACATTTGTATGCCTATCTGATCAAAAAGGGATCAAAGCAATGTTTTCATACAGGATCATTAAGATTATAAATGCAAAAAGTTTCCAATTATAGCTGTGGACAAAATATGATGGTTTCCAAACACAATACTAGAGGTTTACGAAGTGATAACATCTCAGTATACTGACCATAAATACGTAAAAACATTATAACAATTGTCATCTGTTGCTTGGTCTCGTATCATTTGTTGAATTTGATCATACACATCTAAATCATCCAATCATTGCCTTAAAAAAAATCAGTCACTGAGTAGTGTTTTGTTACTTATTTCCACTAACTCCGCCATAGGCTCACAAGTAACAATTATTTTCAGAGATAAGATAAACTAAAGAATGAATAAAGCAGTTTCATTCCCTCACCTGCTACTATCTTTCTACACAAAAGTTCCTATTGTTCCAATGTGGGAAAACTGGTGTTTATAACAGTCTTTTTACCTACTCAGGTCTTTGCTGTTAGTGTTATGCATAGCAGTAGAAAGTACACTAAATGCCATTTCAAAACTACTGCATAAAATTTTGTAAATGATTTTTTCTTTTAAATTATAAGAAGAATATTGTCAGTTGAAAAGTTGTTAAGCCTCAATGTTTTTATTGAATCATAACATTTAAAAAATGAAGCAATTTTTATAAAAACTTAGGCCATAAAACATTACTCTTATATAATTAATATTATATCAGTAATCTCAAAACATAAAAGTTGGCTTTTTGTTAAGCACAAATATAAAATAGGCTATCTATGCTGTGCCCACCACAGGTATCAAAACCCGATCTTAGTGTTATAAGCCTTTAGACTTACTGCTTACCCACTGGGGGGCAAACATAAAAGAAAAGCACCAGGTAAGAAATATGCATCATGTTCCAACATTGTTAGGAAAACATTAACAAAATGCACAATACCATTACTAAATGAATACAATTTTTATTATTGGCTACAGGTAGAGATAGAGTTACTTAGCAAAATGCATGGTACTGTTATTCACTTAAACTGTTTTATTTACTATTAAAATTAATACTATTTATTATCTTTCAGCATGTTAGATTAAAAGTACTTTATGTACCATTATCACTATTTAGTATGTGTTATAATGTAAGAATCAAATGCTATCTGTTTGAAAAATCAAGTAGTCTATATTTTAGCTTAACTTTACAGGACTATAAGGCAAAGTCTAATTTTTATAACCTCCAATCTTATTTATTTATGGAGTCATAAACTACAGAATTAGACCCTCTTGCCACATCCTCTCTTTCACAAATTGCCAATAATTCTCTACGATGCTTTATACTATATCATTTATAACCAACATAAAGGCAAAGTTTTAATCCATCGAATGATGTATAATGCTATGTTATGTTCAGTACAGAGTACTATCAATTTATCTTCAGTGTGAAAGTTTATCTCCTTATATTCAGATAGAGCAGCAAAAAAGATTAATCTAAACTCTTCTTGTCTTAGTTAGAAAGCCAGTTTGTCAGATATAAAAGACTGTTTAGTGTAGATAGTATTATTAATTTATTTATTTTGTGTTTGTAATTCACTGATGTCGAGGCTATGGAGATCTCTAGAAGGCTAAAGTGATAGATGTATAACTAGCTGCGACTAGACAAGCAGAAATAGTGTAAAAGTAAAGTCACAAGAAAAAGAAGTTTGGTCAAAGAAAAGTTAACCACCATGGGAGTGAATGGCCTAATGGTTGATATGTTAGAATGAGTTAATGATTAACAGTTTGAAAAAGATAAGGAGAATAATTTGTCTCTTCACAGGGTGTTCTAACCTAATTGTACCTGCCTGTGTGTACTTTGACAAAAGTTAGACGACTATTGGAAGTACAAAGAACAGACAATTATTGGAAGTATGAAAAGCAGATGATTATTGGAAGTTCAGGATACAACTGCAGCAACTCACATGACAGCGTAAGTGAATTATACATGGATATTATTGCAATTAAAATAGAGAAAAATAGTTTGGCTCATCAACTGAATTCTAAAGCAATTGAATTGGCCTAAGTGGACTTTGACAATTGTCAAATTTATTGTCAACAAGTCACAGACACCTACTGTGGAAGAATCCTTAGTCCAACACACCCATATATTTACAGTACTATATATACTACTAAAGTGTAGTTTCCGACACAGTTAAATTATAATAGTTATAGGACATTGTTTGCTTTGTGCATGTTAATATTCTGTGTTCTCAGGTGCCTTACTTAAGGAAATACAAGTTTTGACTCTCAAATTGGTTTTCCTAGTATGCAAGTCCTAGGCTCTTAGTTACACTACATTGATGCCTACCCTGACATGGCCATAGTATTGTAAAAAACAAGTTTGCCTGATTCTGTTTGTTTGAAGTTAAGTACAAAGCTACACAATGGGCTATCTGTGCTCTGCCTACTACAGGTACTGAAACCTGGTTTCTAGCACTGTAAGTCTGCAGACATACTGCTGTGCCACTGGGGGGCATGACAGACAAACTGCATACAAACAGTAAGAAATATATAACTTCCAACACCAGACAGAGGAGGAGAACAGAGAGACAGTGTGCAAGAACCTGACTGACCCAATGGTTGACTGTGAAGTGAGTCCACAGGTTAATAAAGAAGAAAATAAGAGCCTCTACAGGACTTGAGCTGACTGGGCACAAAGAGAGGTATTCACCTGTGTGACAGACAAAGGCCAACCCTCCAGAAGAGGGGATAGTGAGAGAAGGTAAAGGGGCAAGAAGAAAAATGAAATAGAAAAAAGGTACAGTCAAGGAACATGCGGAGATTTACAGGAATAGGCAAGGCAGGAAAATCAAGAAGTGAGAGAAAATTGATAACAAACATCTTCTATCTGAGACTCCAAGGTGAGAGGAACACCCCAGAGACCTAGTGGCAAATGAGAGAGAGAAGCAATATGCAAGTCATGTAGGAAGGATTGAAGAAGATGAATAAGAAAGAAGAGGGTGTCATGTCTGAATGGATGCCAACTACACAGAAACCATATGAGTAGAGAGAAAGCCAATGATGAGACCCTGGTCTCAGTAGGGAAAATGACTGATCAGAGATATCACACAAAAACTATCCATAACCTGGTGGAGGACTCAGATTGGAGATAAGAAGAAAACAGGTAGTGAAGGGATAGAGAGAGGAGAAGGTAAAACAGGAGAAGTGAGCTCCAGTAAGGAATATAGGAGAGAGAGGATCAATACTTAAGTAGACAGGAGGAATTTCAGAAACTGAGGATCAAAGAAGGTAAAAAGGGAATGACCATAAGAAGCATGAAAGGAATCATGGAAACAAAATGGAAGAAGCAGGGAAGAGTAGGAAAGCTATAGAGATAAGAATATCTTAGTATGAACACTAAGGACATATAAAGGAGGAAAGACAAACAACAGTAAGAAAGTATGGAATAAAGATCATGAAGAAATACAAGACACAGGAGAAAGGGAAAGCATAGTACAAACCTGACACAAACATCAATCTCATGGTCAGGCTCAGGAATGGAGAATGCACAGGAGATAAGAGGAACTGTGAAGAAAGGCAAAATTCTCTCGCTATGGGCTCAGTTGAACCGACCAAATTTGTGACCCCAAACTGACCTTTATAGTTTCCATACTATAACTTCAAAAATCTTTCTTCCTGAAATGTTGCAAGCTTTCAGTAATTATTATTAGACAAAAAATTTAGGATTTTTAATAAAGTATTTTCACAAAAAATTTCTCCATGAATATATGGAGTCAAATGCAAAGTGATTTTCACGTTAAGATTAAAAATACTTTTCTTCATCTGAAATACCTCAAATTTTATTTGTGTAATCTCTAAACCTCTTAAATAAATTTCAAATATTTTTTCAGTAAAACATTTTATTCTATCTGTTATTTTCTGTACCCTAACTCTATATGAGGTTGGGCAATTTGAACAACCTCATAACCACCCAAAAACAATCTTAAAAATCTAAATTACCCTTTTTTCATTCTAGGACTTCAAACTGTAAGTACATTTGTTTATCTTAATTAGCTTTAAACTCATAATATATATCTGTTTATACTTAAAGTTTATCATTTTGCCCTTTGAACTGTGACTTTTTTGCCATAAAGTTTGGAAATCACTTGTCAAACATACAGCTCATGTTACCCTATTGAATTACATAACACACACAAACTACTCAGATACATACCCCATGAAAAAATTTTCATATTATTATTCTTTATTTTACCTAATCTAACCTTACCTAACCTAAAAAGTTTCTAATTTTTACATTTTAGTTACTTTTATTAGAATAAGTAAATAATACACATGAAAAACAAAAAATAAAGTACTTACCTGGGTCTTTTTTATTTTTTGCTGTTGACTGTCGGTGACAGTTAACCCTACTAATGGTACTACTGCACTAAATGAACTGAAGTTTTTTATTTAATGAAATAATGCAAACAACAAAGAATAATCACATACAAAATGCAGACAATGTCCCATAACTATCTCAATTTTTATGGATTTCTAACTATGTAACAAGAGCTCGTCGATTTGTTTCCCTTGGGAATAAAGTCTGAACTGGAAGAGATATAGACAATGCTCTGTACAGAAAACAACGTAACACAATACATCATTTGATGGATTAAAACCTTGGCTTTCTATTGATTATAAATAATATAGTATTAACACTCTGACCACAGATGTCCTTTTCAGCACATTTCACAAGGTTCTTTAATAAAGATTAAAAATCTAGTGAGTTAAAAGCAACAAAATATTTTACATACAGTTTTACAACATCTCCTTCTTTCAATATGATATCAGGATCACTTCTCAGAGGTGAAAAATGGCAGATGCAGTTGTTCACAGAAACACATGTTGGAAAAGCAATACCTGGAAGAAAGGATACCGCTATACTTTTCAAAGAATTAAACTAAGATAGTACTAGCTAACCAAGAAGTCTTAAAATTCAGTTTACAGTTACAATTTATTATGCTTTCAATAATAATTTTGTTGTTGGTTGTTTGGTGCTTTATGGTGCAAAGCAACGAGGATATCTGCGCCAAACAACCGGTAAAAACAGTGAAAGTAAATTAAAGTAAAATGTAAAAATACAGTGAGTTAAAACCAATATATGTCGATAATAGATTTATATGTAATTAAAAAGACCTATAGTGTATAAAAAATTAAAAATACAATCTAATCGGACAGTGTCACCATTACCAATGACACTGTCCAATGTCAGGGGTAAACTCTTAGAAAATGTGTCTAAAATGGTGCCGCCGCTCACGGTCATAATGACGGCACGACAGTAAAATTGGGCTATTGTGACTTGACTGTCACAATGGCTACACATCGGTTGTTCAATACCTGATAAAAGAAAACGATGGGTTAAAAAACTATGACCAATGCATGGTCTTGCCAGGACTACTTCCTCCTTCCGATCCTTATGAAAGCAAGATGGCCAAAGACCAACAGAAGATTTGATCTGAAAAAGCTTGTTATGACATTGCTCACCCCAAGTCACCTGCCAACTGGCACGATACCGCGCCTTGAAGACAGGACCGTAGTCCATGTATGGGACAGGCACGGCCATGATGGCACCAGAGCAGACGGACTTAGTTGTGGTGTCAGCGAGCTTGTTCCCATGAATACCAACGTGACCAGGGATCCAGAAAAACTGGATGGAATCAGAAGATAGAGAAAAGTAGGCCAATCGGTGTTGAATATCGACGAGAACAGGGTGAAAACTAACGTTAAGCGATTCCAGGGCCAGTAGAGAGGTAAGAGAAT